AACCCGCACTAAAGTGAAAATCTCTCAAAAAAAAAAAAAAATAGAGTGGCTACCAAAACATTTTCTTACAAGTCCTGATGGAAGAGATCTGTGAAAGTGTATCTGTGTAGGTATGTGCATATTGTATGGGTGTGTGTGTCTGTGTATACTGTGAGTATAATGATAAAGTATAAATATGTTTATAATTTGTGGTGTTTCATTTCATTCTATTATTTTATAGGCCAGGGTCCTAAGTATGTAAAAATTTTTATCAATCTACCCCGATCTATGGATTTTGAAGAGGCAGAAAGGAGTGAACCAACTCAAGCTCTGGAACTGACAGAGGATGATATTAAAGAAGATGGCATCGTTCCACTTCGTTATGTTAAGTTTCAGAATGTTAACAGTGTAACTGTAAGTAGTATTTCATGAGGATAGGTTAATGGGTTAAATGTTATCTTCAGTATCATAAGTGAATGTAAATGATCCTTAAAGTTGTGCTTGGCTATTCAGTTTGAGATGAGTGAAATGTATAATGAGCTAATTAAATTTTCTTAATTTTACCTTATTTATTATCCTAAAGAGGAAAGACAGGCTGATTTTTAAATATTTGTGGGTTTTGTCAATTTGTTTATTTTATTTATATGTATGTGTGTGTGTATATATATTTTATATGTATGTGTGTATATATATTTTATATATATATAAAAAATTACATACATTATATATGGCAGCTTTGCTGAAGGTGTATTCTAGAACATTTATACTTAAAAATATTTGTGTTTTTCTTTCAACTGTAGACTATACCATATTCTTTTAGCATTCTCTGTAAAGAATTTAATTATGACTTGTCCATCCCATCACGCTTAATTGTCTTGATTTGTATATGTGGGTGCTTGCCATGACATCCCTGGAGAAGGTGAAAATAGCAAGGCAAACAGTGGAATTAATAGTCCTGTAGAGTACTAGTCTAAATGTTGTACAATTTATTATAGATTGATCCTTACAAAGTATGGAAGGTATTTTTATTAATGGTCTAAGAAAGTTGATTAAACTTTAAGCATGTATATAAGAGATTGTAATTAAGAAGTGATTTTTTTTTTTTTGGTAGATATTTGTTCAGTCCAATCAAGGTGAAGAAGAAACAACAAGAATTTCATATTTTACTTTTATTGGTACTCCAGTCCAGGCAACAAATATGAATGACTTCAAACGAGTAAGTTTGTTTAAATGATATATAGGGGAGGTAAAAAATACAATTTCAAAGGTTTACTTTCACATATTTCAGCAGTCATACTTTCTTTAGCAAGGAAGATCCAAAATCATCATGTCATGAAATTTTATAGGGTTACATTAGAACAGTAAGATCTCCTGATCATATTTTTAAACATCCAACTAAATGGAGTAAAAAATATTGTCTTAACTGATAACAGTGTTTTTTAATGAATGACATTTAAATAAAAGGATAAAAATAATGGTTTGGTTATAGAGAGTAGTTAGGAATAATAGAAAAATATGAATAAGATAAATCATTATTTGAAAGGAATAGTAAGATTTTAAGGTGTTTGCTGATACTAAAATTTGACTATCATTTTTTCTCATGAAAATGTATTTTAAATGATTTGAGTAATCTTTCTTTCTTAAAAAGAATGAACTCCATTTTGATACACCGATATGCTTACCTTTAAACCACGTCTACATGCTGAAAGCGCTACATTTCATCAAGTAAATTTACAATGAATAGGCAGACTCTCTTATTTATCTTTATATATGTGCGTGTGTGCATGTATAAATAGACCCCTCTCGTTTTTTTTTTGTTTGTTTTTTTTTTCTTTTTTTTTTTTTAAGTCACAGCTCTAAGCTTTGCAAAGAATTTGTAGGGTACCTGAGACTGTTAGAAATGAAGACAAATTTATTTCGTACATTCCTGGAATAACTTCTGATTGGTAATATTGTGTTGTCAGAAATGTCATGACACATTTTTGCATAGAAAAACATTGAAAAGTTTGTCATGACTTTTCCGATGACTCAGTAGTTCCCTAGAATTACTTTTAATTATGAAACCAGAGATCATAGAAATGCCACTGAGAGCTTTCCTAGTTCAGGACCCCAGTTTCTATAGATGTTTTAAATGCCTGTCCACACAGGAGGTGTAGGTATACTGTTTTTCATGACTGGTTCTTGAAAGCAGTCTAGGACGTCAGGTGATAATAAGAAATTTCTCTAAAGGTGCAAATTCCAGGAGGAAGAGACTCCCAACAGACCCCCTTTTTGGAAACTGAATTGGGCCTGTACAACATCCTGAGAACTCTTTTACTATTTTCTTGTGGCATCTACAGATCTAATTTCAATTCAGTTACAGAAAAATTCATTAAATTACATCATAATGACCTTATAAATTTGTATGCTGTTTTTATAAAAATCAAAAACCTTAATGATAAACTTCATTTTTCCATACTCATTTTCCTGTCAGTATAATTAACTTTTTTTTTTTTGAAGATTTATTTATTTATTTATTTATTCATTCATTCCTTCATTCCTTCATTTTAATTTGACCAGATAGAGACACAGAGAGAGAGAGAGGAAAGTGAGAAAGCAAGCCACCAGGTCCAGGACTTGAACCGTGGTCGGCCATGTGGGAGTGTCCAGCACCTCAACCACCACACCACCTGCTGGTCCCAGTGTAATTAACTTTTGAGAGCTACAGGAATAATTATGTACTTAGATCTGTTATGTCTAGGTATGTGACATTTGTCTAAGGGCAGGTCAGAAGGAGCAGAGTTTAAAACATCTACATTTTTTGGAATGTAGGAACTTCTAGGAAATATATTTTACTGGGAAAATATGTGAGCAACAAAGATGTTTTGGCTGCCTGCTTTGCTACTTTACCTATAAATTCTCCTGGACTTGGCTTTAACTTTGTCTTGCCTAGTTTGTTAAGTAACTTAATTCTTTCATAAAATCTATTACTGTTAAGTCTCACTTCCTCACAGTATTGATTTGGCTCTAGTTTTCTGTTTCTTACCTCAACTTATGTTATTTCATTTCCAGTTTTTCTATAAGTATCACTCTGACTTGTCTGTCTTACCAGCCTGCTATTCAGTTACAGTATTTTTGTTGGTTTTAATTATTGTCCACCTAATTGTCTGTCTCCACCTCATTGTTTACCTTGTTTTTCTTGCTAGAGAGCATGTGCTATCCCCAGAGAAAGGGAGAGAGAGTTATAAGCATCCCCCAAACAGGACTTGGTCATGCCACAGTCCTTTTTCTTCCATTCTGTCAGGATTTTGGGTATATATGCACACAGGCCCACATGTCTTTCAAGCTGCCAGGGCTGGGATTCAAACTGCAGTTTGCTTTGTGTGAAATCTGGCACCCTTAATTGCTAAGCAATGGGTCTAGCTTCCCAACTCAGTGTTTTTAACTTTTCCCTTATGTAGCCTACTCTTCTTTGACTTCCAGACTTCCTTTGTGTGAGCTGTCTTTAAGATAGCAAAGATGTCAGAGTTTTTTTTTCCTGAGAGTATTTGTGTTTATTTTATAGTAGCCATTTATTTAATCTAGTTTTTTTTTTTTAAAAAAAAACCTTACCTACTTATTTTTGTTCTTCTAAGAAAGATTTTTGTTATAGAGTACATATGCTCACCGGAGAGACAGAGAGAGAAAGAAAATTAGAAAGTGAGAAATCATCCCTCAAGGGGGATGGCCATGCTGCAATCCCTTTCCTCCATTCTCTTCTCAGGATCTTGGGCATGCATGCACACATACCCAGCGTGAGTTTGAAGCCGCTGGGTCCAAGACTTGGAACTGCAGTTGACTATATGGGAGTCCAGCAAGGAAACCATTACACCATCTGCTGGTCCCTTTTTTACCTTATTTAAATTTCTGTAGAGCAGTAGTACTCAAACCCTTAATACTATTAAATATGATTGAGGGCCAAAAAGAATTTGTGTTTATGTGGACTATATTTATGTAATATTTATCATACAAGTGATTAAGACTGAAATTTTTTAAGTATTTACTTATAAATACTAAACCCATTACATGTTAATATTTTTAAATTTAAAAAACATTTATTTATTTAATGTTCTATAGTAGGGCCTGTGTGCTTACCACAGAGAAAGAGGTGAGAAATCGCCTGTAGAGGGAGATGACCGCACTGCAATCCCTTCTCCTTTATTTTCCTCTTGAGATTTCAGGCATGTACGGACATACACCTGGCTTGTTTTTATTTTTCCTTTCCTTTTTTTTTAAGAGAGATTTTTGCCATAGGGTGCATGCACTTGCCAGAGAGACAGTGAGACAGAAAATAAGAAATCACCTCCCAGGGGGATGGCCACACCACAGTCTCTTCTCTAGTCTCCTCTTGGGATTTTGGGCACATATGCATATGCCACTGGTGTGTTTTAAGTCACTTGAATCCAAGATTCAAACTGTAGTTGATTACTTGGGAGTCCAGTGACATAACCCTTACTTCACTTGTTGGTCCCAACCCCCTTGTTTTTCAAGCCACTGCATCTGGGATTGAAACTGCATAGTAAACCATGTGGGATCCAGCCACCTTAACCACCATGCTACCGGGCTGGCCCAGGTTTGTTTGTTTGTTTGTTTTTTAATAAAACCAATTTAGTAAGCAGAGGAGCATTTTTTATAATTTCATTGCTCTCTAGCCTAATGGAGTCCTGTCATTCTGTCTACTTCTGTATTTAGTCACTTATAGTAGAATGTATCATGTAGCCTTCACAAAAATAACCCTGTACACTTGAGAGAGAATGAGACTTAAAGAGGCAAATAACAATTTAGTAGTAGTAGTCAAGTAGTTTTGATCTCACATACTGTCTAAAAGGGTTTCAGTGACCACAGGCTGAACCTCAGTTTGAGAACTGCTATGAAAATAATTTGAATCCTATAATGGACTCTCTTATTGGTGTTCTGATCTCCTTAGCTTTTTGTTTTTAATGTTTGATAACTTAATTGGTTGGAAGATTTCCTTAATAAATATTGTATTTTCTTTAATAGTTTGTGAATGGAATGTGTTCTGCATATATAGTGATTTATTGTCTTGTAGAGTTATTCCTCAAAAGTAAACTGATATTTCACTGTTTTTATATTATGCAGAGCAACAACTTCAGAGTATAAAAAAAAATTAAGATGATTTATGTACAACTGTAATTGGCCAGTTTGATCCTTGTTTAGATAGAGCTGTTTGTTAAAAATTAAAGAGTTTGGTTTCTAGTGAAGGAAATAAAGAGATATGTGGTATAGTACTTTTTAACCTTATAATACTGTACAGCGAGCTTATATTCTTACAGTGTAATATACAAACATGGAAAGTTAATCAAAATGAATCAAAGCTTAGTTTAAGGGTCTCTTCCTCCTCAAAGTATCCTCATGCTTTTCCAGACCAGTCATGGTTTCCTTCTTCCTAGGAATAACTGAGTAAGTATGAGAATATGTGGTGGAAAAAGTGGCCTTGAACTAAGGTGTTTTCTTTTTTTTTTTAAGAATTATTTAATTTTATTCCTCTATTTTTTTTTTTTTCCTTGATGAGAGAGAGAGAAAAGAGAATGAGAAAGTAAGCTAGCAGGTCCAGGACTGGAACCATGGTGGGCTATGTGGGAGTCCAGCATCTTAACTATCACGCCAACTACCAGCCCCTTAATCTAAGTTTTAAACTAAGTTTTAAGAGTACATTGTGGGGGACCAGCAAGTGACGTGGTGGTTAGGGCTTTGGATACTCCCATGTGGCCGACCACAGTTTGAGTCCTGGACCTGGTGGCTTGCTTTCTTGTATTCTGTGTGTGTGTGTGTGTGTGTGTGTGTCTTTGGTCAAATTGAAATAAATAAAATTTAAATTAAAAAAAAAAAAAAAAAGAGTACATTTTGGGGATTGGCAAGTGACTTGGTGGTTGAAGTGCTGGACTCCTACAGGACTGATTATGGTTCAAGTCCCGGACATGGAGACTTGCTTTCTTTTTTTTTTTTTCTTTTATTTTTAGTGAATGCAGATTTTATTCCAAATTGCTTTGTAAACAGCTCAAATACAAGTACCTTTTTGTTTGTTTTAGTTCTTGAGTGTTTTTAATTGAGAGAAGGCTAGAAGTGAACAATTACTTGCCTCTGCTTAAGCATGATGCTACTAAGCCAAGTGAGATGCTGAATAAGAATAGGACTGCTCCTATCAGGCCTAAAATTCTCTTTATTTCCTGATCTCTGCTCATCTTTTCAGCCTTATGTTTTTGTTTTGTTTGTTTGTTTTTATTTAATAAGTGACAGTAGCTAATTTCATAAAAGCCAGCTACCTTAAATTATTTGTGTGGCAGTAAGATTTTCTCTCTTGCTGGGGAGATTGGCCAAGCTTTCTTCATCTAGTTCTTTCTTTTTTTTTTTTAATTTCATTTTCTTCCATACATTCAATCGCATTATTATTTGTCTTACAAAATGGATGTTTAAACAGGTGAACATTTATCCCTAGTACTGTTGATAAAACTATGAAATATCTTCAACAGATAATACCACACCTCTTTGTGCCATTAATGCTTTGCCTCCCTGTCCCTCGGAGACTTGCTTTCTTACTCCCCACCCCCCACCTCTGTCTGGTAAGATTAAAAAGAAGTAACTCCAAATAGAATTAAATAATTCTTTATCAAAAAAAAAAAAGAGTGCATTTTGGGTAGAGGAAAAGATAGCGATGGCTACCCCAGATAGAACAGAACAGTAGGGACTTAACCCGTAAAATGAGAAGGCGCAGGCTTTATTCAAGGGCAAGTTTCAAAATAATGGGCATATATTTTATAGGCATAGGAAGGAATGTTCTGACAGTGTCTTTTTGTAGTAAGTTAAGTCACATGTTTTAATAAATGATAAAGTAGATTCATTGGTTAGCATTTTCAGTTTATGTTTTTGTGTTGTGTGAGTTGTTTCTAGATAATCTTAGTTTTCAGAATGTCATTGACCTCCTTATGTCACTAAGATGACAGAAACTAAGGTAATGCGGGTGAATCTTGGATGTGGATAGAAATGTTAGACCACCTTGCATGCCATTGCAGCTTTATAAAGTTATACTTTCAAGATTTGATAGACTAGAATTCACCTTCCACTTGTGTGTTTTTGGCTCTTGGAGTATCTTGCAGCTTATAATACTTGTTTTTGTAAATGTATTTTTTTTGTGTTGCAGCATGAGATGCTTGGAATCTTAATTGGAAGTAGATATTTTCTTTGCTAAAATATTCTATGTGGATTGCTTTATTTTAATATAAAATTATTAAAATGTAAATGTATAAAAATAAGAAAATGTAGGGGCTTCTGCTTCCTAGGGAATGAGGTGCATGTGAAAAGCAGAGCAGATTTTTATTACTGTAATAAATAGACTTCTCTAAACTGGCCATTCACCATATCAGCTATTTTTGTAACATTTCTGTTTGTTTATTTTTCAGCTTTTTTAATCCAACTCAAATGAACTAAAAACAGAAGATTTTTAAAAATGAAGTAATATACAGATTGACCTTATCTCACTCCACTCCCCTCCTTGCTTCTCTGCTCATCTACTCATCTAGCAGCTGTCTGCTCTCACCCCTCCCATGTTCTGGCCATTGTTGGTGCAAGATTTCTACAGCTTCTGTCACCTGGATCAGCCTGTTACCTAGATTGCCTCAATCATCTCTCTCTTCAAATCTCATCCTAGTCATGTTTCTCAGTTGGCCTTTTATTTTATTTTGGGCTTGCAACTAGGTGCTTTAATTTCATTACCATGCCATTTTGCTCACTGGACTTTTTTTTTTTTAACTTTCTACTATTTCATATTTAATTTTGTACTACATTTTAAGAAGTAACATTGCAGTAAAACTAAAATTGTTATACTTGCTTTTAGATTTAATTACTTGTCTTGATCCTTTATAAAGTTTAAATTTTACTTTTTAAGAAGTAGAGAATCATGAAAAAATTAATCAAAATTTTGATTCTTCTGCTAGTTTAATATATTGCTTAGGTTTTAATTGAGGAGTATGGGTGACTTTTTCTTCTTGGAACTTTTGCCCTAAAATCTTTGATAATTGATGTGGAGAAATCCTCTGCTTTTGCCTACACGAGTAAGCTCAAGGCCAGTTGAAGCACTTATGGACTGAATGTTAGGCTGGGTTAAACTATTAACATAGAAGAACAATGGACTCTATTGAATAAATGTTTGACACTTAATTTTGATATACATAGACTTTGGTTTTTCTGAGGTCTGATAGAAAGTTTTAAGAATAAATAAAAGAGCTTTATGTTGGGGATGAGAATTCATGTTGGAATGCTGAATTTCTTCTTTTTTACAGAGAATACACATTGGCAAGTTGAGAGTTATCAACCTGTGAATCAGTATGCAGATTTGTGTCTTCTACTGTATCACATCTCCTAAAATTTTAATTTTTAATATTAGTGGTTTTGTTTCCTTTTGCTTAATCTAATAGCTGTGTGTTTTGCATTTTCCACATAATTTAATGATCAGTAATGCTCTCTGTTTATTGGCTTAAATTTGCTTGGGATACAAAGAGTACTACCTTTCCTTCCTTCTAGTGGCTTTTAAAACTTGATCGTTTCACACTTACCTATATTCTTTTGTAAAACTCTTTATCATCTTTCTTGCTTATTAGGCTTTCTAACGGTTCTTTGGATCAGAGAGGAGTTCCTTTAAATTAATAAAAGTGGTTTTCCTTACAATAAGAGGAAAAAATAATTTTTAGTATTGTGTGATTGGGAATTCAGTGGAAAGAGCTTTAAAATCTTATCTTACAAATGGCATTGACCCAACTATGTTCTCTTGAGGACCAGACCTGCACTGATGCCCTGTATTTGTTTGCTTGATAGAGACACTATCATTTGGAACAGAATCAGTTTAAAATATGAAAATTACATTTGTGAAATGTACACTGAAATCTTTCTCTATACAAATATAACTTCAGTATTTCACAATTAGGTTTCTTTAGAGGTATTTCTGCTATAAGAAATTATTATCTAATGATAGATTTTAGGTTTGAAGTCAAATTACTTGAATAAAGTATAATTTAAGAGCCTTTTTACAGAGAATTTGTTTTCTAGAATGGGTGGTAGAAACCAAGTTTATTCTTTCTATTTTTGTGCTGACACACTTATAGCAACCAGGACATTTTTTAAAACCCTCCAATGGATGATTTTTATAGGCATTAACAGAAACAGTGTTTAGTCTTCATGAATTTTATAGCCTATTTATGGCAACCAGGGTTTAAAGAAAAAAAGCTAGGCAATATTAGTCATTTTTAATGTTTTTATTGAATGTCTGTATAAGAAAAGTCTTGAAACCTGTCATCTTGTGAGTTTAGCGTATTCTTAATTCCAGATTATTTTGCGATCGACATTTGATTTCTAATTGCCTAAAAATAGTATGCCAAATACATTTTACTCATATAGCTTCATCTTTTTTATTAACTTTTCTAAATTGTCAATCCTGTTTTGAAAAATTGCATTACTTTTTCTTGAAACTGTGTGGGAAGCCAAAAATAGCCTGCATGTATTTTAATTCCTTGTGACTTGGGGTATGGTTGGGGTAAGGCAGGATGTTACAGTTTGCTTCTACAGTGAAAATACACTGCATGCCAAAAAGATTCAAAGATAAAATTAATACCAGGTTTTAAAATGATTACCTTATTAGTATTTTTGAAAGTAACCCATATTTCTAAATCAACAAGATATAAAGTTTTTTGGTTTTATTTTTGCTTTTCTAGGTAGTTGGCAAAAAAGGAGAAAGCCACTAAGATACAGAAGACACTGGAAGACCATGTTGCAATCAGATCTACAGCTCCTGGATAATTGCTTGATTCTCGCCAGAGACTGTCAATGTTTCATTCATTGCCATTACCAATAAATCATTGCTTTTGTTCCGATGATATCACTAGTGTTTCTATTGTAATCTTGACACATGCAGTTGTAAATAAAAGTCACTACTTTTGCCAAGCTTAATTTTTGTCATTCTAAGTAAGTATTTTCTCTCTCTGTGTTTATTTGAAAATTGGCCAGCTTCTAATTTTAGAAGAGACTTAAGTGTCTTGTAGCGTACTGATTGAAAGCCATTTACTTTAGAGGATCCAAACTGTCTTGGGAATTGGGAGTGCACACCTTTCTACCATGCACATAGAATAAGTGATTTCGATAAATGGTTTGGAAAAACTGGCCTTGTTCACATGAGTACTAACTTGTATTTTTATTAATGGACATTTGGGTATCCATGCTCTATAAATTATTTAAATGATAATAGGAATGAACAGATTTCATGAAATGTAACTACTCTTGTCTAAAACAGTTGGTTGATGGGATACACAGATTCTTTCTCATACCAAGATTTTAATACCTTTTGGGTAAACATTAAAATTCAGGTCAGCTGTTTACTAATAGAAAAATGTTGAAATTAGATGTTGGAAAAAATACAGTAAAATGAATTCATGAAATGATGGGAATTATATTAAATCAAGTATTTGTTACCTTAACTACCAAAATATGCAGCGTAAATATATAGAGAACATGGTTTAAGGTTGAAAATAAATTGGCCAAACAGATTCATGCTTAACAGGTCTTTAACAAAAGGCTTGCAAAAAAAAAAAAAAAATCTATTCTTTATTGCTTGTTTTCATATTAGTAATCTAGAAGGAATTGGTGAATTTAATTTTTCAATTTGGGGGTATTTTTTAAATTAAGTATCTTGAGAGTACATAAGACTATATAAATTGTGATTAATTAATATATTTGAGGGCATTCTTGTCTTGGGTTATGGTAGAGATACCATTTGCCTTTGAAAGACAATGTATTTATACATGTTTATGAAAACATACAGAAATTTTAGTGTTGAAATAGCCACTTTCTAAGACCCAAGTGTCATTAGATAATGGTCAGTTTATGTACATGTGAGCACATTAACTGGTCTGTGGTGATGTCTGTATTTTATGTATCTCGTTGTGTTGCCTTAGGTCAAATGGAGGCAAAGGGGCAAGAAATAAAGTTTATAATACTCCTAATGTAGACATCTCAGATTAATCACTTCTGAAATTAATGATTAGATTAATATTAAGGGTTTTGTTTTACACTTTTGTACACTTAACCTTTTTGGGTAATTGTTAAAGTGCCTCATCTTGAGTATTGCTGACCTCATCCTATTTATACTTGACAATTTCAAAACCCAGTGAAAGTAATTTCATATTTGTAAAGGATTGGGCATCAGATTTATATTGTTTATGTGACTTTTCTATAACTTGGTTGCAATATACAAACATTCCATAATTATTTAAATTGTAAGTAGTGGAAAATGAATGTTTATAGGTAACTGTAACATGTTTCACTTATGGGAAGTTTTACTATTACAAATAAACATGCATAATTGACATTATTTAAAATATCAAGCTGAAATATTGATGTTTTCTCCTAAAACAGGATATGTGTTATATATACATGTAGATGTTTATGTAACATTTAAATACAGCACTGAATTTTCCAGATAAGTAAGAGCATTTGAAAAAATGTAACTGCAGTTATTTTAAACTGTTGGGTCATTGGCAAAGTCATGATGCATTTTTGCATATAAAAACAGAAAAAGTATGGCATGACTTTTCAGACAATCCCAATATTTGAACCTATCCAATAGTGTTTTCTAGAAAACTTAAGATTAGGTTTGTTTTGTCAGATATAGCAAAAAACGAGTCCCATGTTTTAGATATGTTATATTTACCATCAGGATCCGTATCTGTTGAGAAATGAATTTCCATCCATAGTAGAAATAAAAGTATCACACACATACACTCGTGCCTATCCTCCATTTGACCCTCCTTACTGTCGCACCCTAAGTTGTCCCACCCCCCCTAGTTTCAATATTGTGTTGGAGTTAGCCACTTAACTATTAGAGTTGATGTAAGAGTTGAAAACTGCCGTCCTCATCTCAGTATTGAAGAAGTATATGAAATTTTTTGCAGTGTTAACAGGTATGTTCATGTACATTTGGCCTCAGTATTTTATTTATGGCTGCCATTAATGGCACTCAATATGGGGGCTTTCTAACCTAAAACAGTTCAGATCTTCCCACATCCCTCTTCATATCTAAAACCTTCGTATCTAATACTGAAATAAAAATAAAGTTGGGGTTGACTGAGCTACACCCTCTTTATTTTTTTTTTTTGGAGAGGTTTTGCTATAGAGCATGTGCACTTAATGGAGAGACAGAAAGAAAGCAAGAAATAACTTCCCAGGGGGGATGGCCACATTGCAATTCATTCTCTTGGGATTTTGGGCATGCACGCACATGCGCTTATCATGAGTTTTAAGCCTCCGGGTCCAGGTCTTGAACCACAGTTGACTATGCGAGTCCAGTGGCGTAACCATTAGGCCATCTGCTGGTCTCAAGGTCACTTTTAAATGTGGCCCATATAAAATTATTCATTTGGGAGTGTAAATTAGATTATTTTTTTAAATTACTTTTTAATTATTTTTTTTTTGGAAGAGATTTTTGCTATAGGATGCGTGTGCTCACCAGACAGAGACATAGAGACAGAAAGCGAGAAATCACCCCCAGGGGAATGGTCACGCCGCAATCCCTTCTCCATTCTCCTCTCGGGATCTTGGGCATGCACACTCATGTGCCCGGCATGAGTTTTAAACCACCGGGTCCAGAACGCGAACCACGGTCGACTACGTGGTAGTCCAGCGACATAGCCATTACGCTAACTGCTGGTTCCCGTAAATTAGATAACTTTATAAGATGAAGAGATAACTAGAATTTGGCTTTGCTACTAAAATTGTACATCGCTTAGAATAATTAAAGTCTTAGTATATGTAACCTTAATACTACTACTATTTCTCTTCAAGCTGTGCTCCTCTATGGTAAGAGCATGTTAATTTATTTAGAAATGAATTTTAGTAAGTTGAGCAGGCCAGAATTAGTTGTGAAAACATGATTTGTTTGTTTATACATGGATATACCTTTTGAGATACTGGCTCAGTATGCTACCCAGGATAAGATCTTTGAAATTTGAATCGCTGGTTCATGATTTATTGTATCATTTTTACCCCCCCTGCCACAAGAGAGTGACAGAGAGAGAGAGAGCCCCTAACAGGATATTTATGCTGCAATCTTTGCCTCAACTTCATCCAGTCAGGATCATGGGCATGCACACACACTCCTGGTGTTCATAGGGAGACACCTCCCACCACCATGCTCTGACTGAGCCCAGGATCTTCCTGTACAGCCTCTTGCAGAATGTTTGTCACATTACTACTGCGCCAGTGTGGCTGGTCTAGCGGTGTCATCTTAGGCAAGTAGCATCCTTTAGAACTTGGGTTTTCTTTTGTGTAAGAACTGGAACCTTGACCTCAGATTTTTATGAAGATTAAACGTGTCTAAATTGGTGTCTGGGACAAGAGAACAGTTACCTTCTGTCCCCTGTTCTCACTGCTAAGGCTGTAGGCCATTGTTTCTTGTTCATACCGCGATAGCCTCCCAGCTGTCTCCTTGCTTCTGATCTGACCTCTACTGCATCCTCCACGTGGCCCCCATTTACTTTCCAGAAGGTCTTCAGGATGTGACCCCTTCCTCCCCAGCCACCGTCTGCCCCTTATTTCCCGTGCATACTGCACTGTACTAGCAGTTACCATAATCCAACCTTGATATTGTAGGCCCTTCCTCTGACATAACTTGTCCATATGATAGGTTCCTACATACCTGCAAAACTCAGTACAAGAAAAAACAGATTTAGGGTGGGCACAGGAATACAAGAAAAATAGAGTGATACAAGGGACTCACAACAATTGTGTGTGCTTCCTCAGCTGCCATAGCACCATGTAAGTTATTTCATTATATTTATTAAACTACCTGTGATTCTTTAAAAAAAAAATTTAAGAGATTTTTTTGCTGTAGGATGTGTACACTCACCAGACAGAAAGCAAGAAGTCACACCCCAGTGAGGATGGCCATGCTGCAGTTCCTTCATTCTCTCGGGTTCTTGGGCATGCACACATACACGTGTATGTATGGCGTGAGTTTCAAGCAGCTGGGACCAGGACTCAAACGAGGTCCACTACATGGGAGTCCAGCAACGTAACCATTAGTCCATCTGCTGGTCCCACTACCTGTAATTATTTCTAGCCTCATTTGCCCTACTACATTATGAGCAGCAAAATAAGGATTTTGGTTCCTAGTAGCAAGCCAGTTTTTGGGGTTTTTTTTGTTTGTTTTGTTGATCTCATCACTAAATGCAACGTTGAACAAACTCTCAGAGTTCTAGAGTCAGTGCTTGAGGCCAGCCAAGATTAAGTAGAAATTTGCAGTCCAGAAGGAAAGGAAGAACATTTAGCCAAAGTAAAGGAGAGCTGCATGGAGTGTTCCTAGAAGGGCAGTGCTAAATGCAAGAGATCGTTTAGGGAGGTAAGGGAGGAGGGGAAGCTGGACAAGTAGAAACTATAAAGCTCTTCTTTCTGTGAATAAAAACTAATTTCTGGGCGGTGGAAGGAAGTGGACAGGAGTCCACAATGACTCAAAAGTTTCTAGCTGCTACCATTAGATGGAGAAATGGTTGCTAGGAGAAGCAGTATGTTTGGAAGGGAAGGTGAATGTGTTTTTGATGCCTTGACTAATGCATCTGAAGTGCATTTTTGGCATTCAGGTGGACTTGTCTAGTAGGCACAGAGGCAGGGATAAGATTCTAGAATTTAGGGCTGTGTGGAGGAAACTAGGAATTATTTCGGTTGTGAAAGTTTTAAAAAAAGAAAGTGGGAATTTCTAGAGAGAATGTAGAGGAGAATGGAACTAAGAAGCAAATGATAGGGACTTATGAGATGGGTAGAAGAGCATGGAAAGCAGAGCAGTAAACAGGAATATAAGGAAAAACAGGAGGTGGTGATAAGGTGGTATTAATGGATGCAAGAGAGTCGTCATTAAGTGTGATAAAATATTGAAATTGGCAGGGATTGCCAGTCCATTACCT